TAGTTTGAAAAAATTTGATTGGATGGAAATGGCGCATCGGTTTACTGTGAACTCTACTGAATTAATGTAAATACCGTTCCATTTTACACACATCATTTTGTTGTTTTGAATTGCATTTCTACGCATGGCTAAATCAAATCTAGTCTCTGACACAAGGTTGCAGGGGTTTTATTATAGTTGTTAATGATCCTGTTCTGTCTCGAACACAAAGTGCTTTACATTAGTTTAATTTGAAAAATGAAAAATGACAAACATTAATTGCAGTGCCATCATCAACACACACACAAACTCACACACACACACAATTTGTGTTAAAAAAATTATTCTCCAGACTTCCCAGTCCAGTTGTTTCTCATCTGCAGCACCCTGATAAGTCCTAGAGGAACTCACTGTTGCAACAGGGCTGAGTCAAAAGAATTTTCATCCCTGAAGCTGCCAAAGGTGTAGGAAAATAACGGTAAAATTTACCCAATTAGTCTAGTCAGGTGACTTCCCTCAGGGGTGAATACATATACTATACTGTGTCTCATCCATTGAAATATTTTGCCGTCGGTGCATTAAGGTCCCAGTTTATCAATCTTGCTTCTAGCCCCCAGGCAAGAGAGAATCTGCTTATTTCGAAAGGTCAGCGGCCCGGAACCAGGAAGGCAGAAGAATCGAATATTGCACACTACTTTTAAATCCCCTCGGCACTTGCTCCCATTTGTTCTGCGGGCCAGTAAATCAGTGGTTTGTTGTACGGTCTTAACCCTCAGGAACTGCCAGCAGAGCAGGGAGGCCAGGCAGGTGTGTTCTCCAGCCAAGTAGCTGCTATTGTCATGCGAGAAAAAGGAGGGAGTCAATAAATTTGATAGAGCTCATCCCCCGAGCACTTTGTTCACAATTACTCTCTTCTACATGGACAACACAGAGAAAGAAATGCTGCTCTGTACTTTTTTAACCTCTGGGGAAAGACAGTGGAGAATTATTATTATTAATAATGTAGCAAAAAGTATTATCAGCGAATAAAACAGGATTCTGTCACTATGACCAACAGAGCAATTTCGGGTTGGACATAGATAAATAATTATCAGGTCAAGCTGGGGGTCAGCTGAAAACTCTCACCTGATCACAGGAGGGATGTGATTGGCACACGTCTAAGTAGAAAGATAAGTAGATCATTATTGTTAGTAGAAAAAGTTAAAGTAATTACTTCTGAAAGTATCCTGTGTTCTGGAACAGCCGTCCCCATTTTGTACAAAGGACCTGGTGGCAGGTCCTGCAGACTGGTAGGTTTGAGTTGATCTTTTAAATATTGTTAAAATGTTTGTTTGTCATTGTGCGCAGTTTTGCAGGAACTTCAGCTTTAAATAGAGTTCAGTAGAAGTTCGAAGATGTGTATGTGTTGACGTGCGGCTACATTAATCCAATTTAGGAAAATTGGCGTCAGAGAAAAAGTTTGGAGAAAGTCTGCAATAATTACAATGACAATACAATACAATGACACTTCTAAAAGCTGAGTACTTCCAGAGTACTTTCCAGAGTTTTACCCTGCATCCATGATGACTTTGTTCATTTTTACTGTACGGTCTATCGAATTAGCACTCAAGAAGATACGATCTTATGACCCTGATGATTATATTCAGTGGTTGATTAAAAGGACTGAAAGCATTAAATCATGGGGTCATAACTGGGTTCATCATCAGTCCACTTATTGTTTTCCCGGCAGGTTGCAGACGGCGTTCGTCCCGTCACATCACGTCCTGGCAGAGATGTTTTATTATTCCATCTATCATAGAGCATTTGTCTGCACACAATAAAGTTACAGTGAGAGGGCTGTAATGAGGCACCAGGAGTGAAATCTCTACGGCTCGGTTATTGATCGCAGATGTTTACGCGACAGCGCAAATAAAGTCTCTGCAGTAATATTTGCCGAATATGTCTCGAACAAACAAACAAACACATGTGTCTGAGATGTCTGACCAGGGAAGGGTGATGGATGACGAGGCGAATGGATTAGGACGGCAGACACCTCGGCCATTAATCTGCAGGATGTCGCTGTCTGTGTCTGTTTGCGTGGCAGCAGCAGCTCCCCATTACTCATGCTGCTGATGCCCATTATCCGTGTGTTGATGAAGGTGTTCTCCTCTGAAGGATTTGGTTCTTTTGGCTCCCTTTCCTGGAACTCCTGCTGTTTGGTGAGATCTCTGTGAAGGCACCTGATGGCTGCGCCGTAACGCATTTCAGAGAAATGAAACTCTCTATGAAATGAACCGAGTCTTCTTTGTGAAAATGCTGCATTTAAATTCATTTGAATTTTTGTGATGATTTAAGGGTCGGAAAGCAATCAGAAGAAAGCTAGCCTAACAGAATGGCACTTCAGTTTAAATTAGATTTTTAGTCGTCTGTTATAAACTACTGTATAGCCAACTGTTTTTCCCCACTGCACCAATGATAAACAATGGCATTTTGTTTAAAGTGCAGTTTGGCAGCACATACTCAGACCCAGACTGTCAGAGGTTTTTTTCAGCTCAATAAACAAAGCATCTATAATGTCCAATAATCTTAAACTACCAGAGACAATAAAACAACTATAAAACTGACTTTTATTCAGCGTTCCCGTCCTCTCTCCTGGAAATCCCATTGCCTGTTACAGGTGAACTATCTCTCAAACCTGAGGTTCAGCCAAACTGGACCAAGGCCAGCACTGAACATCCATCAGCCTGACACTGATCAGGTTGCCAGCTCTCTGTGTCTGGACCTCTTTGGCAATTCAAAACTACTAATTAACTGCTTTAGGCTTGTCTACGTGTATTGATCCAGCTTTAAGTGCTTTTTAGTAAAGGTTTTTGAAGCTGGGCAAGTGTTCATTTTGGCACAGAGTGCAGCAACGATATCTGTGATTTAAAGTCATTGCTTGGATTTCACACATTTGGTGTTTGTGGAGTTACAGCAAGTGGTGGTGATGAAATTACACATTTTGTGTAACACAGTCATGGATGTCTACAGTTCAGGATCGCATTTTTTAGTTTGATCATTTTCATCATTTTTAAACAAGGCAGAGAGAGAGAGAGAGAGAGAGAAAGAGAGACACTTTTTGTTCAGTTCTGGTTATCATTGTGTCAAAACCTAAGATTTATTTACTGTCCACAGATTCAATTGTTTTGTAACTGTATTTTCTGCATTATTTTTACATTTAGCATGTCTGTTTTTCACCATTTGGTTTGCATTCAGAATGTTCACTTGTCAGGCCAATCCCAGGGACTTACATCCCTGACTCCTCTTGCTTAGTAGTGACTAGGGTTGAGATGCAAATCCAAAGAAATGTTCAAGAAAAGTGGAATGTCTGTTGCAGTAAAAAAAATCACTATTAAAAGGAATTTGAGCACAACTCTACTGTAGATTTGTTCAGTCGCTCACATTTACACCTGTTTTGTATCTGTTTTTGTTTTTATTGCAGGCTATCCAGTTGATTCCAGCAGGAGGACAGCTGCAGACCTAACTCCATCTCATTCTAATATCATTACTCCTTGTAAGATCACCAGTGGCTTCAAAGGCGGGAGCTTGGCCTCTACGAACATCCTCCAACTCAATGGTGAGTGTTTACCTCCTCAGCCTCCCGAGCTGCTGTTACGGTCCAACACACCACACAGGGATTACCTCACTGTACCTGTCTCACTTACACTTTCACTGTATTCCCCCGCACCAGCGTTTGTATGTTTTCTACAACATAGACCTAATTAGTGGTGTTCACTGGTGCGGTGACTTTGCTGCTTCAGTGATCAACTTCTCTCGACTGCACTGCTGAACCGCTCAATTTTCAGGCTAATTGAGCTTGCAGAAGAATCTTTAGCAGCTGACCACAGTCCTGCCTCTGTCATGTGTGTGCATGTGCACAAACGGTTTCTCAATTAGACGATCACGGTCACGGGTGGAGTTGTGGCGTCTTTCCAGATTTTCCTTTAACTGCGAGAGCTGGCAAATGAGCACATTATATATATGTATACGGTAGGGCATAACACACTGTCATCAAGCACATGACAGATGTTTACAGAATGTATATATCTATTACGTGTGTATATATGTAGATGTGTACATAAATATATATGCATATAAATACAGTGGACACCCTAGTTACGAGCTTCTTGAAATACGAATATTCCATGTTACAAGTCTGCAACTATTGCAAGATTTTTGTCGTGGTACAAGGAAATATCTAGTTACGAGTGCTCAACCGAGGACTGCATCTATTCAGTCGTACGGCATGGGGAAGCTGTGACCACCTGCCAAAGCAGCTGTGGAGTTCGTTCAGAGGAACTTTTAGTGTTTAATAAAATAAAATAAAATAATATATATATATTTATATTTATATTTATATTATAACAATAATATAAAATGTTTTTGTAATTATTATTATTTTACACGATCAATATATTTGTTTATATCTATGTTTTGATGTTTAGATGGGGGGGGGGGTAATTGTTTATTTCTGGGGGTCCTGGAAAGAATCAATTTTTAGTTTAGTTTTCATTGAGGAAAATTCAATCTAGACACAAGGGCTGTTGTGGGACATATTCAACTCGTATCCCGGGGGTCCACTGTATACATCTATGTACACATGCACACACAATACAACACAATTGTTAATAAAAGTTATTGTAACTCCTCATTACTGTTGTACTGCTCTGTCTCTGCTTCACCTCCCTGTTCTGTACCAGTGGAGTACAACATGCCCTAATTGCTTACAGTTACAGAGTAGATAGAGCTGTATTGTGATGTATTGTGTGTGTGTGTGTGTGTGTGTATGTGTGTATGGTATGAGACTAAGTCCTGTGCTCCTGTGTCATTCTATTCTGCCTGTGCTCCTGAGGAGAGCAGTGTAGCTGGACACTACATAGTGAGGAGACTGACACCTGACTGAATGGCTCTGTGATACAGCAGTTCAGATTAAGAACTGAGCAGAGAGAAAGAAGGAGAGGAAATCAGGGCAGGAGGTTTGTCCCACAGTGTGTGTGTGTGTGTGTGTGTGTGTGTGTGCGTGCACTGTATCTGAATTCTAACTCTTGATATTTCTATATTGCCTTAAGCTGCACCGAATATAACCTGCACCCAGGCAGTGCTGTTTTTAATTTGTGATAGGTCTGTCACTTCATTCAAATTTGTTGTCAAATTCGATTCATCGTGATGATACACTGTTCCTAAATATGAAAATAAATCTTTACAGTGTATTGACAGAAACACTGCAATTTCACTGCTGTCAGAGACTCTTCCTCATGATGCATCAGAAAATCATTAAGAATTTTGCACAGGTTTGTTCATATGGAGGACTGACTAAAAATCTGTGCATCTGTTGGAAATTATGTCATAAATATTACTATTACTAAGTATAATATAAGTACTTTTACATTAACACCATGGCTACTGATGCACCCCCATACCAACAGGTGAACCCTTAAGCAACCAAGGGGAATTTACCAAGTGCTATAAGTGACCATTTAATTCCAAAAGAGTTTAAGTTAAATAAATTCACACGAAAACTGCAGTTCTTGTATGAGTATGAAGATTTCCGATGCTGATCCAAACTAAAATGATCAGAACCATTTTTTAATCCTGATTTAATGATGCAACTCTGAATGTTTTTGTTTATACCAACTACAGGTCATATTTAATGTAGGAATACCAGTTATAAATTATTAATAATTCCAGCACTGGGTAACAGAGAGAGTAGAGGACAAGTAAAGCTGTTCTTCAAATATTAAAAACATGTTTTTGAGAGCTGAGATTTGTTGGCTCCTTATCATCTGTGTGTTGTTCAAAGTGGAGGATTAGCCAAATTCTCTTGTTAAATATTTTGAAGAACAGGCGTAATTTACATGATCCACTCTAAATGAGGTTGGGTGATTTAGCCGGTTATTTTTAATGATATTTTGGTGCATGCAGAGGGGAGCCACCAAGGTGAAAGATAATTTAGGAGGAGAGGAGTGTGAGTTTGTTCTCTCAGCATTAGGGCTTTGTTCCAGTTGTAGCTCTGCCAGTTGTTTGAATCCACTGTTGTTTAGAAACAAGCTGTCGTTCCTGGGGTTCCGACAACACTCTGTTGGCCCCATTTCTCTGGAACATTTGGAGCATTTAGGGCACATATGGTCAAAATGGCAACAAGATCATAGATCACACTGTGATATAAATATCTTAAAAAAGCTGTTTGTTTTTTTTATCCCCCTACAGCCACAAACATGACAGAACGCATGCCACTGTACAGTTCCCTCAGTGAGTCGGATGACCGCCTGACCGTCTGGAATCACCGTGACATCATAGACAGGGTTAAGGTGAGGTCACGGTTGAAGTGTTATCCAACAAGAACCCTTTACACCTAATATAAGACAACACATTATGTGTGTTCACCTTGTTTAGTCTCCTTGCTGAAATTCACACACACACCACAGGAGAACTTGTCAGGAGAAAAGCTTCCACCAGGCTGACTCTCAGTGACACACCTCACTGAGTGATGTAGCCCGCAGCCCTCTGTGTTTTTGTGATCGTACAAAGAAGGTGTTAATTGTTCTCTTACATGAAAGCACATCTTGTACTTTCACCCATGGATGCACACTTTAAATATGATTTGGAATCTGATACATGTCATCTGTTAAAGCCTTTTTTTACATGTACTTTACAGTGCCCTTCCACAATTTGAAATTTGGAACTTAATTTTCATATTATTTTTTTTTTGGTTGATGGCCATAGTTTATTTGGTGTAGTTTTACTACACTTAATCTGAAGAAAAATATATTGTCCTTTCCCAGGGATCTCAAAGTCCCGGCCCGTATGATCACTGTAGCCAGAATTGTATGGCAAATTTAAACTGGTATACTGTTTACTATACTAACCAAATAAAATGGTTTGAACAACCAGGGACAATCACCATGTCAGTTAACAAGCAGTAATAACTCCTACAAAGACTAAAATGTCCTTTAAATAATTTCAGCTCTTAACTCATGTCTCTGTTGTGTGATCAGACGAAGGAAGCCCACTTGGCCATGGGCCCTCTTCATTCAAAATACCACAGAGAGTGCAGCAAAGCAGAGAGTATTGCCAACATGCTGAGCCAGGCAATCACAACCCAACACCTCCTCTACGCCAGCCTGGGCTCAGCTGAGTACATGGAGTTCGTCCTCAAAAATCCCTTTAATGTGCCTCACACCGTCACCATCCACAGCGAAGACCCGGAGCTCAGGTGAGAGTCTTAGAACAGTGTGTTTACAGTGGGATTATGTCTGGCTGGCTCCTACGTTTACTGCTCTGGTTATATCTGCCACCTCTCAGAGGAAACCATGACGTGTGAGTCGTGTGTTTTATGGTTTAAAACTGGTTGGATTTTACAAGTTCATGAATGTGTCCCTCAGCCTAACACACCAACTGTGCATGTGTTTCTTGTGTGTGTTGTTTCCATTATCGGACCCCAACAAGCCGTGGCCCACTGTGAAACTGTCTTCACACATTCTGAATGTGTTTTCAAAGGTGATTGTTCAGCTCTGGAGATAATTCCTTTAAAAACAATTTTCAACTCGCTTTAGTAAATGATGCTGCATTTACAAACCTCAGCCTCCCTTAGTGCTAAAAACACATTTGAACCAGGTTAGGAGTTTAAATTTTATATGCTTTATGTATCAATTGACATGAGCTTATTGCATTAGCTGGTGCCTAGTTCCTTAATGGTGACCTGGTGTTGTGCTAGCCACAGGTCATTAAAATGATAATTACTCATACAACTTTACCAACCAATTAAGTAACTAAGTATCAAAGAACCTTTTTTGGTTTTTAGTTGTTGGAAAAAGGAAAAGATAGATCTGACATTATAGTCAAAATTAGTTACTGCAAGTGAAGATATTTTGCGATTGTGTTACTGCTGTAAATCCAGGCCATGGGCGTCTGTTTTATAGCTTCCGCTGATATAAGATGCTGTATATTGATAACATAAAATAGTCTTGTGTGGGTGTGAACATGTGGCTGCACCTTTTACAGGTTCAAAAATGAATGAATTTGGTTACAGCTGTCTGATAAGTACTTTACTTAATCTGTGAATTTGTTTTTGATTTGCTTAACAGAGAGAGGTTTTATTGTAAAGTAAAGCCACGTTGTTTTTAGTTAAAACTAAATATAAATTAAAAATTTGAGTGTCCGGCCCCCGGGGTATGTCAAAAATTCTGGCCCTCCAAAAAAGTATGGTTGGTGACCCCTGCTTCATACTCTGGTTTAACGCACAGCCACCTCCTGTTCTTATACACATTCACTGAAGCATCAACAAAACCCTTTTTGACTCAGATCATATGCGACGCCCCCTTTGCCTTCTTTAATCCGTACATGGCAGACATTGTGGCTGGTGGTTCTTAGATCCAGCGTTCTTGGTCTCAATGTCATGTTTGTTTGAGTCTGTTGTTAATTCCCTCCACACTAAGTCTTTTGTTAAGGATTCTCCTCATGCCTGAGCTTGGGATTAACATATATCACGTTGATCAACAAAGTCTGGCGTGTGCTGACGATGAATCATTATGGCATTAGAGCAGCCAGCGGGGCCTACCAGGTCTAATTGAGTGTCATCAATCCCTGCATCTGTCCCTTCATCATCTTATTACCCTGTGAGGTTCTTTTTTTTTTACTTCCTGATGAGGCAGTGTGACACCTTACCCCAGCCCGTCTGCCACCTTCACCAAGTCACACTGTTGTTTGAATGAAGAGGGAAGCTTCTGAAGTTCACACAAGTCCCACCTGCAGTACTTGTATTTCACCACACTGCTGTATTAAATCACAGACCTGCAGTGCTTTTATTGGATCATTTGTTATGTACGTGACGGCAGGCTGCACAGATTTCTCAGCATTTTATTATATTTTTGGGAACACTCGGAGAGTGTTTTTTTTCTGATCTGGAGGCATGAGTGATTTGTTTACTTCTCTTAGATACTTGCATATTTTCTTTTAGAATTTTTGTTAAATTAAAAAAAGATGTATTTCAGAAAGAAGTATTAAAATGTATTTGTGCAATAAAGCCTGGTGCGGAAACTGCTGCTGAATGTTCATAACCTTAGCATAAAATTTACCATGCTATCAAACATATGACATTTATATGAACTGGCCGGCTATTGATTTTAAGCATCTTACATTTTGTAAAGATGTACTTTGTCAACAATAATCTACTAAATAATGGTGTTTGCTAGGGTTTGAATATAAATATCCTTATTTTAAATTCTTTACTCCATCATTAGCACAGGCAGCAAAAAAAATGCTTTTCACGTCCTTAAAAATTCTCAGACGTAAGGTATATATTTTCTTTAATTCCAACAAAACTTGATGTGAAACATTCTGTCAGTGATTTGTTTGTGTTTTTGTGTAGCATACTGCAAGATTGTCCTGGGATGCAGGTGTCAGTCAGCTTTTCTTTGCCTTTTACTTTCCTGCCAATGTTCCAGCCAACATTCTGACTCTGAGAATATGGGACGTAAACAAGATATTGAATGAGCTCTATGTTGTGTGGAAACAACCCTGGAAAGAGCCTGACCTTTGACCTGAAATCCTGCTTCAGACTTTGAAAAAAAAGTACTGGAGAGTAAGACAGGTCTTGGCCTTGTTTTGATGTTTACAGCCAGAGGTTCCTCTTAATGTGGGGAAAACACTTCTGCTGCCTGTTTTTTTCACTCTTGGCCTAACAAACCCCAGGGCGACCCACGGCTGAGACTGTGCAGTCTGTGTACTTTCATACATGTTGCTGTTTTCTCTTGTTGTTCCTCTAAACCAAAGTTTGTCCAACACATTCACTGACACCACGAGTGAAGGTTCCTGGACTGGACAGACATCCATGTAGAAACAAAAATAAAATAGATGCCTTCCTGCTCAAATCACAGTGTAATTGGTGTCAGAGTTACACATTATTTTGACCAATAATTTAGAAACAATTACATTTACATACAATGCCCAGGTCTGCTCTAAACTGTCTTTCCATTCTCTGCAACTCTTCGTCTAAACACATCCTTTATTCATCCTTCTTTCTGTCATTTTAAGACTAGGTTTCCTTTTTTTGTCTGTCTTTAACTAAAACGTGTTCTTTCTTCTTTTAAAATAATGAATGGGGTTTCTGAGAGGGTCAGGTTAAATACTCAAACCAAACTTCCATTCCTTGCACCAATTTAAGTGCACAGATTTAAATCTCCAAAAAATAATGGAAACGATTGTTGCCTTTTGCCCCATTATTACCCCTCACTTCTTTACTGAATGAAATGTACTTATTCATGGCCATTGCTTGAACTTTTGAAGATTAAATCAGCAATGCCTTTTACATATTTTTGCATGCACAGGAAGAAAATAAATTAGAAGTGAGAACTCCCTCTGTGAAACGTGTGTTATTTGTTCTCCACTCTTGAAGCCCATTCGTCGGAGTCGTAGGGGGCTTTCACTTTCACTGACAACTCCATTCCTTCATGTGAGCAACCATCATTAATTAAAATAAAGGTTTCCATATGAAAACGACTTTTACCACCCCTGCTCTCTTTGCAATTTAGCAGAAAAGAGCTCAATACACTTGTGAATGCACCAGCCGTTCCCCTCTGTGCATCCAGGGACCTTCTTTTCATTCTTTTCCTGTGATCTTTATTCATGCACCGCTGACAAAAATGTCCAAAAAAGTCTGAGTGGAATGCAATTATTTTTGAACAAAGACTCGTGAAATTTGATGACAAACCCGTTGTGAGAGTCTGCTGTTTGGATCATTTAAAAAAAAAGAAAAAAGTTCTTCCTATAATTATTAATGCAATAATCCCTTGAGATGAACTTAGGATCATCAGTGTTGTTAATATGTTATTAATGTAGTAGCACACAGGCCTGAACATAAGGACTGCATGAAATTACCACAACAGCCACATCAACAGAGTGACTCATTTAGGGCAGTGGATTAGCATCGGCATTAGCATTACAACAAAGGTTCTTCAGTGACTTGTTTGTGTTTTCAGCTGTCAGAATGTATGACAAAACTATTCTCTCTCCTACTGTTTGTTGTGCAATTTTGCATTGTGAATAAACTCGCCTTGACAGTTTTAATAAACAATGGCAAAACATCAAGTTCATTTTGATGATAGAGGTTTAGCACATTCGACAAAAATATAGACCTCACTCGTCCGGTATCTTTGACATCATTGTGAAACTCCAGCTCAAGTGACAAGTGTAAAACTGTAGCTACACTAAAAAGAGATTACTCATTAAAGGATCCAAAGAAACTCAGTGGAGAGTTTTAGACTTTTATTCTTGATCATGTAACAAGCCTGCCGTCTGATCTTGTATGAATCCCTTAAAGATGTAAGAGCCCTCTTTTATCTCACTTGTGTCTTTTAATCTTCCCATTCAGTGTCATCACCAACACAGAGGAGTGGAGTTACTTCAAAGCTCTAACAAAATCTCAGACTGTTATTGAGGGAAACATGTTCCACCGGGAGGAGGACTCATCGGGTCCGAGGGTTTACCTTCGCCCCAAAGAGAGTGTCCATATTCCCCTGAAGTACCAGAGCTTCCACTGTGACCACACGACCGCCCTCCAGGTATGGTGCTGATCAGTGGGTGAGAACCGACCCGCGGTGAAGGGAAAATATGAAAAGAGCAACGATATGGTTTAAATGTCAACATACTTCAAGTGTTAAACACGGTTGATCTATTCCAGAAGCCAGTTAAGTGATTAGGGTTTGACCAAAGATCTGATGCCAGTGGGAGATTTAACTAAATGTCATTTACTCAGGCTATATGCTTATCTCCTAACAATGACTGGGGTTTCAGGCCCCTTTTCTCCCCACTTGTTGTTTTGTGAAGATCCCTGCTCTTGATTTACACTCTACTCTTTTATCAAATCCTCACAGGGACCCGGCTTCATCCCTACAGGCAGCGGTTCTCAGATGGCCAAGAAGAATCTTTCCAATATTATTGCTGCCAAATCTATCAAGGTACAGAGTGTTCCACTTATGCCTGGTGTGATATCTACTGTCTATATGACTATCTTTATCTTCATCTCCAGTCTCCTGCCTCTTCATACCTTATTTGATTGTCCTCAGGCTGCAATTATGGTAACGCTGCTACCTGGAGGAGTGTACAATCTGGATGTGCAGGACAGTGTTTTTCTGCGATTATAGTTGGTTTCTGATTCCAGAAAGATGACAATAACAGATACTTAAATTCGATTTAGGATTTCGGTCAGGTTTAAAACCTCTGCCATGATCCCAAAAGGCTCACAGCGTCTCTCAGGAAACTCTGCGGAGTTGCAGTGCACCGCCTCCTCCTCCTACTACTCCTTCTGCTCCTCACCCACACAATCACAATTCAGACAAGAGGAACACTTTGAAGTGTCAACCGTATAAAAAGTAACACTAGCCTGATGAGATTGTCAAGAGAAATTACTTGCTGCGTTCACTTTTATCTTGGTGAACATTGTTTATCTTCTCTGATGAGCAAATGTCAGGACAGAGAGTTGGAGCAAGTCCAATTAGAGGACAGCTTGACGTGTGTGATAATCGACTTTAAATGGACTACGGGTAATGCGGTACGGCTCACAAGTTATTCTCTCGTTCTCTGCGCTAAGTCGAGCATTCATAATGCGTTGGAAATGAAAAGAAAGACGAAACAGTGTGATTTTCTGCAGATAAAACATTGGCCACCATGATCTATATTTGATGTAATGTGCTCTGCTGCCCCAAAATGTTACAGCTGTCTCTAGAATTAACTTCTGTTCCCCAGCAATTTATTGAATGTGAACCAGCTCTCTCTACGAACACAGACTGGAATACATCTCGAAATAAAATGTAAACAGGAAATTTACTTCAGCTCAACGGAGCCATCGGAATATTCTTATTGTTCATTCAGAGTACATATCGCTGAAGCTCTGAATAACACAGGGTTATATGTCAGATGTGTGCCAGCCCACTAAACACTCACCGCCTGTGTATCAGTGCCAGCAGTGCGAGTGCTGCTACGAACTAAAATCCCGTCAAGAGGTCAAAGAGGTCAAGCCTGGATCAAATATGTGTTCTGCTAGAACTGTCACGCTCCAACAGCACAGCTGTCATGACCGATACTCTGGTTCTACTGTCAGTCAGTGCTCATCACTGCTGCGGGTCAGCGTGGGCCGCCATTCTGACACATCAATGACTTGGACAGCTGGTGGTCGGCAGCGTTCAGCTTTTTGTAGGTGGAAATCTGTGACAAAAATGAGTGTGGTCCATGGGGTACATACTGTATACTGTAGTATTTAACAAAGGTTTACTTCAGGAAATTAAGAAATTAGATTAGACTTCCTTTATTGTCATTTAGATGTACCTCACAATATAAAATATAAATAAATATAAAATCAAGTTAAAGAGCAGGCTTGTAAATTTGATTATACAACAATCTTTTTTTCCAAATCATTCATTAATAAGTACTGTAATTTATGGAATTAAAGCTGCACTGTGTGTACGGGGCACTGTGTGCTGTACGTGGTAATTCTGGACTAATTGCGAATAATCATGATTAATCGTGATTTTTTTTTTGCGTCTAATTTAAATGGTGAAATTATTGGAAAAATCTCAATTAAAAATTCACGAGGTTGGTTGCTCTGCATCTTGACAGTATATGCTGGGCATGGTATTTTAAGCTTGAAGTGCTTTGAGGAAACATTTCCCTGCAGTGTGTTAATGACCATGTGTGTATTAAGGCAAAGATGACAGTGGGTTTCTTGGATGTAGGGTCCTGTTATTCTACTCAGCTCTGCTGGTGTTTTTACATTGTAAGTAAACCTAATGCCTAACTAACTAGTTATGAATAACCAATCTGATTGTTCTTACACCCTCAATAGAACATACATAATCAACCAACAACACATGTACACACAGAAGGAACAATATAACGCAACCTCCCTCCCCCGTGCTGGGACACAGTCTGGTAAAGGTCACTGACAGCATGTGACATTCACTACCATGAAGAAAATCGATTTTGATGAAAAATGTGATGTGAAATATTTCCATAAAAATTCTGTCATTGTGAACTTTTCATGGCTCTTTACAACAGCTACTATATAAATAAGTGGCCTTTTCGTGTAATGACACATCACAAACAATGAAGTGCCAGCATTAGTCCTGAAACTGAGGCTGCTAAATGAAGCGCAGGCGTCATTAATTATATTATTTACACCTGAGCCCTACCAACTGTGGTCTGTCAATGTATCTGCAGGAAAAACTATCGCTCATTGTGACTCATT